ATACTCCTTGGGTGAAGATGTTAAACTGGGGGAAGGTGAACTACAACAATATTAGGCAGGAACCGGAGAATTTTGATTGGAGGCGGTTATTTGAGGGTAAATCTACATTGGACATGTGGGAGTATTTCAAACGGCAGTCGATAAGAGTTCAGGAACAGCACATTCCTGCAAGAATGAAGGATAGGTATGGCAAGTTACGTGAACCTTGGATGACCAGGGATATTATGGCCTTGGCCAAAAAGGAAGGATACAGAAGGTCTGGGAGGATGGGAACTGATGAAGCCTTTGAAGTATATAAGGAAAGTAGGAATGAACTTAAACAAGGAATTAGAAGGGCTAAAAGGGTTCACGAAAAGTCGTTAGCAAACAGGATTAAGGACAATCCCAAGGCTTTTTATACATATATAATATTGACAGACATCTTTTCATCCTCTTTGGCCACAGGTGAGGTCCCAGAGGACTGGAGATTAGCCAATGTTGTCCCATTGTTTAAGAAGGATAGCAAGGATAATCCAGGAAAATTACAAGCCTGTAAGCCTCACATTGGAGGTAGGAACAATATTGGAAAAGATTCTCAGGGACAAGCTCCATACATATTTAGAAGTAAATGGACTCATTAGCAATAGACAGCATGTGTGCAGGAGGTCGTGCCTCACTAACTTGATTGAGTTTTTTGAGGAGGTGACGAAGATGATTGATGAGGGAAAACCGGTTGATGTTGTCTATATGGTCTTCAGTAAAGCCCTTGACAAGGTCCCTCATGGCTGACTGGTACAAAAGGTAAGTCACATGGTATCAGGGATGAGCTGACAAGATCAGAACTAGCTTAGTCATAAGAGACACAGGGTAACAGTGGAAGGATGCTTTTTGGAATGGAGGGCTGTGACTAGTGGTGTTACACAGGGATAAGTGCTGGGACCTCTGCTGTTCATGGTCTACATAAATGATTTGAAGGAAAACGTAGCTGATCTAATTACTAAGTGTGTGGATGATACAAAGATTGGTGAAGTTGTGGATCGTGAGGAGAATTGTTAGAGGATACAGCTCAGTTGGAGGCATGGGCAGAAAAATGGCAGGTGGAGTTTCATCTAGGCAAATGTGAGGTGATGCACTTTGGAAGGTCAAGTACAGATGGAAATTATACGTGAATGGCAGAGCCTGTAAGAATATTGATATGCGGAGGGATCTGGGTGTGCAGGTCCACAGATCATTGAAGGCAGCAGCGCAGATAGATACGGTTGTAAAAAAAGGCCTATGGCATGTTTGCCTTTATTGGAAGAGGCATTAAGTAGAAGGACAGACAAGTTATGCTGCAGTTTTATAGAATTTTAGTTGGGCCACGCTTGGAATATTGCATACACTTCTGGTCACCACACTACCAGAGGGATGTGGATGTTTTGAAGAGGGTACAGAAAAGGTTTACCAGGATGTTGCCTGGTATGAGGGATTTTAGCTATGAAGAAAAGTTGGCTAGATTGGGTTTGTTTTCACTGGAACACAGGGCGTTGAGGGGCAACCTAAAAGAAGTTTATAAGATTGTGGATGGCATGGATATGGTGGAAGGTATGAAGCTTTTTCAAAGGTGGAGGGATCAATTACTACAGGACACAGGTTCAAGGTGCGGCAGTAGGGGCAGGGGGATGTTTAAAAGAGATGTGCAAGGCAAGTTTTCACACAAAGGGTGCTGAGCACCTGAAACGCTCTACCAGAGGATGTGGTGGAAGCAGGCACATAGCAGCATTCAAGAAGCACATGGATGAATACATGAATAGGCTTGGAGGGCTGAAAGGCCTGTTCCTGTCCTGTACTGTTCTTTGCAATACTACAATAAAGGAAAAAAAGGTACAGATTGCCACTTCAAAGGGGAAAATGTCAAAATGAGGAGCAGAATTCATGATCTAAAGTTGTTGAATTCAATGTTCTGCCCAAAAGGCTGAAAAGTGCCTAATTAGAAGATCAGGTTCCCTTCCTCTAGCTTACATTGGCCTTCATGAGAATACTGTTGTAGGCCTAGGACAAAAAGGTGACATAAAAGCAAGATGGTGAAATGGTGAGCAACCAGAAGACCAGGGTCATTCTTATGAACTGAAGTATTCTGCAAAGAAGTTACTCTGTGTTTGGTCTCCCCAGTGTGGTGGAAGCAAACAGACCAAACTAAAAATACAAGTAAATGGTTTCTTCACATGATTGAACATTTGGAGCCTTGGACAGGGGAAAGAGGTAAATCAGCAAATGTTACACTGCCTGTATATGCATAAGAACATAACACAAACATACGAACAAGGAGGAGTAGACCAGTCAGCCCTTTGAAGCTGCTTCAATAAGATCATAGCCAATCTGATCTTAAACCTCAAGGAGATGAGGTGTTGCGGACCAGGGTGTCACAGAGATAATGGTCCCATCAAAATGCTGCCTGAGAGTTAAGCAAAGACAAATTTGGTGGCACAGTCACGCTGGAGGTAGCAGAAATAGAACAGGTGGTCCTTTGAATACTGAGACTGGCAGGTTGGAAGGTGAGAGAAGAGTATCATTGTGGGTCTGTGGTGTCTATTGTAGCTCCAAGAGTGAAGGAGCAAGGGCAGAAGTGCATAAAATGGGCTTTGAATAGGGAGACATGTTGGAACTCTGTTGTGGAAGGTAGCATCGTTGGAACAGATAAGACCAAAGATGGTGAAAGTAGGAGAACAGAATGGAACCATATAGGAAGCAGTGTGTTGAGGTAGTAAAGATAGCTGAGGGAGCTGGAAGGCATGAAATGAAGATTAGTAGACAGTCCAAAACAGGGATAAAGAAGTCAAGAAATAAAAGCAGAGTGGCAGAAATGTATAGAAGGGTAGAAATTGACAAAATGCTTTTCAGTTCTCGATGACAGCAGGAAGCAACACTTATACAATCATCAATATAGGAAGAGTGTGTTGCGGGAAAGTCTGAGTAAGACTGGAACAAGAAATGTTCCACATACCCCACAAAACGATAGGCATGACTAAGGCCCATTGGGGTATATATAGGAGCACATTTTACTTTGATGCAAAACAAGTAAAAGGAGAAATTATCAATGGGAACAAATTCAGCAGTGCTATGGAGGATGGCTAATGCTTCTTTCTCGAATAGAAGCCTGAACAAAACAGCCTGGCAGGGGATGGATGTGAGATTGAAAGTCCAGCAGAGACTTGTTTGGGTTAGGAAACTGTTGAAATGAAGGGCATCTGAAGAGTCACAGGCATACAAAGATGACACTAAAAGAGGGGGAAAAATTTGAGTGAAGGTGGGAAGAAGTTCAATGTGACAGGAACAGACCAAAGTGATGGGTCCACCATGACAGGCATGTTTGTGGATTTTGGGAAGGAAGTAGAAAGGAGGTTTTCAGCATTTGGAGACCAGGTGAGATCTCTACAAGAGGTGATGTCATGATGTCAGTGACAGTGCTGGGAACATTGGCATAGTGAAGGGCCACCTTCTTCATTCCTGATGAGTATGAGAAAAAAAAAGAGGTAGGTCACATGGCCCCTTCAGCTTGTGCTTCCATTCAATGAGATCCTTTGACCTCCGCTCCATTTTTTTCACCTGATCCCGTATCCCTCAATTTCCTTAGCATCCAAAAGCTTATGGACCTCAACCTCAGCGATACGAAACAAGTCATATCGATAGCCTCTAACTCACGTAATTCAACCACCTTGTCATAAAGGCTAACATACCACCATTGTCATTCTAAATGCTTGTTTACCAGTATGCTATGCATTTTAAGTAACACCAAATTTCTGAATTCATTGCTCAACATTTAAAAATCATTTTTCTATTTCTTCCCACCAAAGCAAATAATCTAATTTCTTCACATTATAATGTATCAGCCATCTTTTCGTCCACTCATGTAGCCTGTAGCACTTGTAGTCATTCCTCAGAGCCTTCTTTCCTTCTTTGTATTGTAGGCAAACTTGGTTCCTTCATCCAAGTTTAAAATTTGCAAGTAGCAGAGATCCAACTCCACTGATCCTCACAACACTATGAACCAGAATATTGTTTATTCTTCATCATTTGTCTTCTTATGAATTCACACTCTATGCTATTATTTACAATCCTACATTGAGCAACCTTTCATGTGACATCCTATAATTTCCCCTCTTCTTTTATCCAAACGTGTTGGAGCAGTTCATTAACTTTACTTTTTCCAATTTTATAACCATCCTTTGCTAGATTTTAAATAATATTCTTAACATTACAATCCTTGTTTAATACCAACTTTAACCTCTTTTTAGTCTTCACCTGACAATGGGCTACGCTTCGAAAGCTTGTGATTTCAATCCTGTTGGACTATAACCTGATGTTGTGCGACGTCTGACTTTGTCCATCCCAGTTCAACACCAGCACCTAAACATCATGGCTCTTTTTAGCTAGTCACAATCAATTAATTTTCTGTAGTAATTTCCAACTGTAATGAAACTTTGAGAATAAAATTTATTTTTGCAATTGCTCATCGTATCTTTATGTACCATATCTTTAACCCTCCTTGTCCAATCTACCCCAACCAACTCAATACTCAAATCAAATTGAACACAGTATCTGGATCCCTCAAGACAATCTTTTGGACCTGGATTCAAAGAGCCAAGATGCAAATCTTTCTTGTTGACCGTAAGGGCCCCATGTAAATTTAGTCTAGGCATTCCAACATGGTGGGATTGGCGAAAATTAAAAACTGTTCCATATTCAACATTATTTAAAATCTAATCCAGGCCGAATAAACTGAACAATGTCCATAAATGGAATAGTTGCACTGGTGTAGCTGCACTCAAGTAGAGCGAGCCTTGCTGTACACCAGTTGTTATCAATTTGCTTGATGTTGGGTACTGAAATGAAACAAAAGTATTTTGAATACTAAAATTACATAAATACAGCATTTGAGCAAAGAAGAAAGTTCATGGCTCAAATGAAGGAGGCGGTTTTTAAACTTCTAATAAATAGTTTAAATCAATACCATATTTTTAAAGTTAAAAAGCAACACCACGTGAACTTCAGGATTTATTTCATTTATGTCTACATCGCACAAAATAAGATAACCTCAAAAGCAAAGCTTTAATCATAATTTGATCTTTTGTACCCACTGAAAAAGTATAGCTTCAATGAAATTGGTAAAACAGGTTTTTGGAGTCCAGGGTTTTTATACATGCTAACACAGTGTTCTGTCATGAATGGAACCATTACAGAATGAGGAGAAAACTTTACAGGCTACACTACATTTCAAAACAATTTATGAAAATATAAAAGGAAGATTCACAAAAAGTTATGTCCTCCTTCGCAAAGGATTTTGAACAACATTTCTTTTTCCATTACACCTTGCTTTCCAGTATTATGTTTGCCACATGTAAATTTAGTCTAGGCAATCCAACTTGGTGGGTTTGGAGAAAATGAAAAACTGTTCTGTTTTAAACATTTATTCAGAATTCTTTATTTTTCAGACACACATTCTTATCCTGCGGGACTTCACCTATGAGGTTTCCATCTTGTATCCAAACTTTTCTAATTCAGCTCTGGAAAACAAAATTGAAATATTTCATCACCATCTTCTGTCAAAAGAACATACGTTCCAGAGTAAATTCAGGCAGTTCTCCAATTCTACCCTTTCCTCCAAAAGGAAGACAATCCTAACTCCGGATTATGGACAACTGTCTTTTCATGAGTAATCCATAACAGACAGATTAAAGCAAAAAAAAAAGTTTGAAGAATTTTACATCCAGATCTCATGGGCTGTATTGACTTACCCGATTTTGGGTGGGGAAGGAGGCTTTGTACTGAAAATTGTTGAATTTATTTTGATGCGAGCTGTATATAGCAGCTATAATTTTCCCTTAGCCAGTTGATAAATCTCATCCACTTCTCATCTATTCATGTACAAAGCAATGGTTGGTTGGGATTTATATTTTTTTTTGAAAAAAGAGAGAGTCTGGATTTTAAACACATGGAATATGGGTGATTTTTCATTGTGCAGGGGTTTAAAAATTAATTAGGTCAGTCATTCTCACATCATGAAACCAAAATGGGCTCCTGGAGTGTTAATATAAATTAATCTATAGAGTTTAACGACAGCTGAGAAAAAAAACATTAAAGACATCGGCTTCCTTTTGTGTTTAGAATAATCAAGGATTGATTTGAGCTTAGGAAAGCCAAAATTGGAAAGTCTTTTGCACAGTTTAAAGGAGACCTGACTTAAATCAGATGCAGGTATAGCTTCTCAAAGAAAAAAAGGAGATTGTCCGAGTTACCTCAGCGAATGAATTTAATTCGTGAAACTTCCGGACCAGGAATGTTTGGTTAGAAGCGTGCATGGATTATTTAAAGCTGAGAAAGTCTAAAATTTCAGGTTGAGAGAGTGACGAAGCATAAAGTCTTCCTGCGACTGGAATTAAGAAGAAAAGTTAAGTCAAGCATACCAAATTGACAGAAGGAATTTCACTGGATTTTGATCAACTGTAAACTAATGGCTTTGGGAGTAGACGGGACTTTGTTTTGCTGCACATTTTGAACTCTTTCAACTATGTTACATTTAGCTAGCTGGGTTTGTTTTATTTTATATTGATTTCTCTTCTGTTATAAGCACTTGTTTTATAGTGTTACAACCAAATCAACAGCTTGACATGCTTATATTGCAGTGAAAGACTGTCATGTGTATTAAAGGAAACAAAACAATCTACCAAGTCAGATTTAATTCTGGCACTTGACTTTTCAGCAGTAACATCAGCCGGGATCATAACAATAGCATATCTTATTTCCAAAATTAGCCATTTGAACGAGTACAGAATAGTAACAAATATTTTCCCAAATATTTTGTTTTTGCCAATCTATTAAGGAAGGTAGCTGAATGACTCTGGGAAAAATGAAATATGCTGCAAACACAGGTAAATGATATTAGACAAACTTTTAAGGCTGCTGACAGAGCCGTCAGTGGGACAATGCTTTGGAAATTGATAAAAATTATTTGGACAAGAACAGAGGAAAAGTGACAAAATAAAAAAAACTAATACCTTAAATGTTTGAATACAACCAAGGTTCTAGTGTCAATGGATGCAAGATATCTACACGAAAATAACTGGATAATGAGAAAAGAAGTGTTTACACAAAATACAAGTGCTTATTGAAGATCAACAGCTATCAATGCATGCAACCTGACAAACAGCTATGGATCAGTGGATCTTTCCTTAATTGGATAGTTTTTATAAATTGATATTAGTACACCATTTTGATATATAATATGCACATGCCTAGATGTTGATTATTACGGGCAATCATAAATGGTGCCAAATGCTGATGCTAAATGATATTCCAATTCCATCTGAGGTGGCAGTGATCAACCATCTGTAGCTGAGAGAATAGATTCTGAGGTCAAGAGATGATTAAATCTATCAGGAAATATGTGATGATCTGACATTGCTATATTGATTGAAGTGCCACAAAATATTTGTTGCAAAATTAAGGCTGGTCGAATTAAGGGACAGTGGGGGAGTGACATGAATATAAACTCTACTAAGATAAAAAGCAGTGGTAAAAAGTCATTTTTCAAACTGAAGGGATGCACATAATGGCTTTTTTCTGATGTTGGAATTATTGCCTTGGCTATTTTTGATGTGCACTAATGAGCTAGAATATAATACAGGGTTATATTTTCAAAGTTTGCAAATGACACAAAAGTTGGAAATGTGGAAAACAAAAATGTGATAAGGGTTAACAGGCCCAGGAGGACAGAGGCTTCAGACATGTGGGATGAAATTTAATAAAGAGTATGCGAAGAGATAAAGAGGTAAAGAACCCTGGACAGGGGTTCAAGTAGAGCCTGAAGATGTGGATCATGTATTCTATAAACATCTACCAACATTAGTGCTATACTTCTTTCAGCACTCAAAAAAAAAAGCTGCCTTTCGTCTTACCATTTTACCAGTCGAATTGTGGTCTCAACCCACCTATTGCCCCATAAACCTTGACTCCTTTTGTCCATCAAAAATCTAATTCGGTCTTGAACAAATTCAACAATGCAGTGTATCCATTGCTATCTGAGGAAAGCCAATTTCACATTCTTATGTCCTTCTGAGAAAAAGGAAACATCCTCTTGGTTTCCATCTTACGATGTCCCCTCAGATGATGTTTCAATTAGATTACCATGCATTCTTAAAAACTCCAATGGGTGTTTTTGATAAAGCCCCTCACCCCAGTAATGAATCAATTGAACATTTTCTGAATTGCTTCTAACACAATTATTTGTCATCAGTAAGGAGACCAAGACTCTGCACACTACACCACATTTTGACACGATGCTCTCACTGCCAAATATGAAGCACATGTGCACTCAATTCGATTGAACAAAACACAAGATCACCATCACAATTTAACGGACATGGAGAAGGTATTTCCACAAGGAAGAGATACTGGGACCCGGGGGCACAACCTCAGAGTGAAGGAATGACCCTTTAGAACTGAGATAAAGAGGGATTTCTTCAGCCAGAGAGTGGTTAATTTATGGAAGCCAATTTATTGAACATCATTTATAACAGAGATAGATAGATTCTTGATTGGTAAGGGAATCAAAGGATACGGGGAGAAGACAGGAGAATGGGGTTGAGAAACATACCAGTCATGATTGAATGGCAGAGCAGGCTCAATGGCTTAATTCTGCTCCTATATTTCATGGCTACGATCTGAGATCCACAAATTTGGATTCATGTTCCTCCTATTATAATCTCAACACAAATTGTCTGTTTATTCACCACATTGCTGATTGCACTGTGCACATTTGGTAACATCATGGGACACCTGAGATATGGCAAAAAGCTGCATTAATTGTGAACTCAATACACACAGAACACCTGGATTTTTTCAATAAAATTACAATTTCATTGGGCAACACACAAGACTTCACCATGATCTAGAAAGAAATGCTGGAAGAGTCATGGAAGCAAACTCATCAGTAAGCTTCAAAAAAAAGTTGGATAATTGTGTGAATGAAATAAAGACTGCAGGGCAATGGGACAGTTTAGGTAGACCTTCCAAAGCTTGACAGGCACACAGGCCTCCTCCTGTGCTGTACAATGAGAACATTATGGTTCTAAAATGTAACTTTTTGCTTTAATTCTATAAAAGCAAAGTTCTCCATTTTAAGAGCAGGCAACTTTTTTCCCACAAAACAGATGATGTTTAAAGCATGATATTGGATGGCACACTGCTATTTTTGACAAACATGCATAATAACTTTACAAGGTTAATACTCTTCCTTTACATATTTCTTTAAATGAAAAATATTTTATACAGAAAGACTTATGATATGGTCTCCCAGACCAACAGTATTTATTAACTTCCTAAATTTTGAAGAGTTAGTGAGATGAATGGGTGTTACTGAATGGACTGCAAACAGGTCTGATTTGGCTCAATTTACTGTGATCCATACACCGTACATCACTCTGCTGGTTAGGTATATCCATTGTGTGGGGAATAGGAACTAATTCATTACTGATGCTTACAGCACAAAGTGGCCAACTGACTCATTATACATGTGCTGCCTTATTGAATGATGCTTAATCTGACATTCCAGCTTTCTTTCCTGTAACCCATTCATCAACTACTTGAATAATCCACTTTTGAACTTATGGAATCAGGCTATAGAACACTTAGAAACTAGCAATTGGAAAAAAAATTCTTATCTTTACCAGATTCAAATAATTGGCAAAAGAACTATGATCTCTCATTGTTGACCAGATGATTGAGTTGATAGAGAAAAATAATTCCTGTCAATCAAAACCTAATTTGGCAAATTCTATTAGGCTACCTCTTAATGGTCTCTCCTGCAGAGAGAACAGTGCAATCTTTTCCAGTCTCTCATCCTGGTAACATTCTAGTAAACCTGCTCTGGATCTCTTCCACAGGGTGTCCAGAATCATCCACAAAGTTCTAATTGAAGTTATTTTGGCTTTTGATTCTATTTTACCGTTTATAAACCAAAGTAACCCAAAAGTATTTTAACCATCTGTGTCATGGATATCATACACCTTTACTTTATTATGCTTTTCAAAATTATCTAATATGTTATCTGTCGGAGCCCTTCATCAGTATCTTTTCACAATTGCTTTATTGCAATCTGCCCAAGTCACCCTCAGGCCTGTAACATATTCTCATCTTAGTTTGTCAAGTTTCATCAACTTACACTCAAAAAAAAAGACCATATGGCCACCCAGCCTGCTCTATCATTCAACATGATCATGGTTAATCTTGAGCTTCCAACTGCAATTAAAAGGTCTACAAGACAAAAAAATTGCAGACAGCAAAATTGGAAACATGATATTTAGAAACCAGGCAATACAAACTGAACTTATAGCATTCATTAAAGACCAACATTGCTACTGGAAACAACATTTTCATTATAAAATCACCTTCCCTTTTAGATTAAAATAGGCAAAGTATTCTCTAACTCAACAGGAGATATTTCATCACTTCAGACTCAAAGTGATTAGTTTCCAGGCATTGTGGATGAAGCTCAGGAAATAGCCATTCAGGTTATTACTGACAGCAGACTCCAATCCAAAGTTACTTGCTCTAAAATTTAACTCTGACTGTGCTCCACATAAAGAACAGAATACATTTAACTGTATTTGCTTGGCAAGTAACTGCCAATGGTGAATCAGCTGCTTGCATTACAACATATCTGATTTTCCTTTTCTTTGACTGCAATGGAAGAGTAAATCAGCAGTTGACTCACTGTCACTAGTGCACTGCACAAAGGACACCATTCAGCACATTCTTCATGATGTCAAGCTAACCAACCAATCATTTTCTGGGTTACCACTTCTACAAGTCACTTCTATTTAAAAATAAAATGCTGGCTTTGAAATTTCACTTTGAAGGAAGACTGAGGATTTTGCCAAATAGTGGCAAATGACTAATTCAGCAAGTATCCATTACTTTCATGCACTTACTTGAATACTTAACATAACTTTCCTTTGCATACCTTGCCTACCTATTGCTTTGAATTTACTCAAAGCTTTTCATATTCTCACTAACCCTACTGCGATCCTAACCTATAGAAACTGCAGAGGTTCAAGGTTGCAGCTCACCACCACTTTCTCAACAGCAACTAGGGATGGGCAATAAATGCTGGCCAGCTAGTGATGCCCACATCCCAAGACTGAATATTTAAAAAAAAGTTGGTTTTGGTTGTCCTGTCCAGCTTCTTAGCACCTTAATCTAACCTTACATTAATCATCATCTGTGCATGACTTTCCAATTGATATAAGTTTTCTTTTATTTCATAATGGCAACTATTTTCAGGATGCTCCCTTATTTAGTATTTCATTACTGAATCTACATCAATCAAGACAACGTTAATTTCAGCTTATATCTGCATCATATTGGGGTTTTTCACTTGTAACTGCTATGATATATCCTTGAGCTGCTGCTTAAAAAAAACTGCAAACTAACCTTAACTGGTTAGAAAAATCGTCCTCTACATTGTCGTCATCCCAGTTATCTTCCCAGACATGGGCGTCTTCATCTTCATCTAAACCAGTCCAACCTGTGCAAAAAAAAACAAAGATATTAATTTTAGTTGGATGTTATATTTTAAAAAGGACTTTTAAATTATGAAGTAAAGTTTTTACCTCAATATAGGAACAAAAAACTACATTCAAAACACAAAGGCTACCTTCAAAGATCTTTAGCCAGTTGTAGATACTTAAAGTCAAAATAAGCTGTGCAAGCATTGTATTTTTCACAACTTGTTATTAGCTTCATATTTGATTTTATTGGTGTAAACCATATTATAAATTGGTTTAGGTTACAGGGAACAAATGTAGGTATAACTTCTGTTGCTACGAGATGAAAATTTTTATTTCTGTTTACATTCAAAGAGTACACACAACGTAACAAAAATATTTTGACAATTTAATCAGATCTTTTTCTTCTTCAGCCTTCACTTATGACAGTTTGCATTTCAAATGGCTAAGAAACATATTTTGCCAGATGGTTAATGAGACAGAGATAATAGGAGGGTTGATGAGCATCCATTCTCATGTAAATCTTTCAATTACAAGTGTCTGGCCAAACTAAAAAGCACTCTCCGGTTCCCAAATTTCAATCCATGAAGCACTTGATCCTACTATCAAACTGCTTCTTTATATCCTGATGTCTTTACCCCTGTCTTCAAAACACACATAAATAACCATCTTTATGACTAAGTTAATGCTGTCACAATTTGTTTATTGACGCTCCTGTGAACCATCTTGGAATCTTTCATTATACTTATATAGCAGGTTAAATGTATCTTCTGGCTATTGAAAGCATTATACAAACCTGCATTAAGGAGAAACTAAGAAAGATTGATCATTTGCGTGGTACCATAAAGGTCACTGCTCATTGAGGTGGGGATGAAACGCAAGTTAATCCAAGTTTCCTGACAATACAAAGTTAAGTGAGAAGATGGCCCGATAGTAGGACGCAGACTACAATAGAATGTAGGTAGGTTAAATAATTGGGAAATGTGGAGTTATCCACTTTCTTAAATGGTGAAAAGTTGGTATCCAGGAGGCCATGGGTATCCTTGCACCTAAACTGTAAGCATAGAAGAACAGCAACCAATTAAGAATATAGCATATTCGTCTTTATTACAGAGACATTGGTCTACAAGAGTTAATAAAAACTCGTTGTATAAAGATTCTGAGATTGTTCCAATAATAGTCTCCTTTCCTAAGGGATAAACTTGAAGCGGTAGTGGAAAGGTTCACTGCGTTAGGATTCTGGGCAAATCATCCCATTATGAAAAATTGGGTTCACACAGCCAATTTTCCATACAGTTTAGGGAACTTTCGAGCCTGCTCCTCCAGTCAACTAGATGGTGGCTGATCTTTAACTCATTTGCATTTTACATTATCCCCATATCTTCTGATATCTTTACCTTAAAAATCAATTGATCTCTGTCAATAATTGAGCCTCCAAAACCTTCAGGAGTAGACAATTTCTAAGGTTTACTTCCTTCATTAAGGAATTCCTCACCTGAGTCTTAAATGATCAACTGTCCTGTTCTGAGATCATGTCTCCTGGTCCTAAACTCCCTGAACCAAAGGAAAACATCCATCCTGCATTTACCCTCTAAGAATTTTGAATGCTTCAACAGGATCACCTTCATTCTTATAAACTCCAAAGAATACAGAGATTCCTCAAACTCAATCGCATGATCCCAAGGATCAGTCTGGTGAACCTTTGTTGCACTCCCTTTAGGACCAGTACAGGTAAGGAGACCAAAGCTGCACACAATACACCAGAAATGGTGTCACTAAGACTCTGCACTCTTGCAATAAGACTTCTTTACTCTGTACTCAAATTTTCTCGAAATAAAGGCCAACTTATTGTTTCCTTCCTAATTTTTGCTGATACCTGCATTTTTGCCTTCAATTACATTAACAACACCCAGATTACTTTGAACATTAACACTTCTTAATCTCTCAACATTTGTAGGAAAAATAAATGCACAGATTTCCTTATAAGTAGATAATTTAGACTTTCATATTTTCCACATCTGCTATCTCTATAACTACTCAGCTTAACAAATGGCCCTTTAAGTCCCTTTGCGTCTTTCATTTAACTCACTTTCTCACCTAATTCTGAGAGATCAGCAAATCTCAAGATACTACACTTGGTCCATACTTTTTTGTTAATATTTATTCGTGGGATATAGGTGTCACTGGCTGGCCAGCTGTCCTTGAGAAGGTGATGGGTTGCGGTGAACTGCTGCAGTGGAGGGAGAGAGAGAGGGAGAGAGCTCAGTTTGGAAAGAGTCTCTATTCTCTATAGTCAAACCCACTATGAACGTGAAGAAAATATCAGTTTACTTTTCCTGCAACAGTTGTTGTAAGTTGTGACCCCATCCTTACCACTACTACGTGTGTACCTAATTAACTAATAAGAACAAAATGGCCAGCAGTCAGCACTGATCCTAGAGGCTAATTGGGAAGTGGAGACTGATCCAAAGGAATAAAGACATCCTTACATACAACTGCAAATGACAAGATACCAGTGCAGTTCTTGTGATAGTTCACTTACATACCACAGCACGTAGTCATAAAAATTAGGACTGCCAGATCAGAGCCAAAGCAACAACAGGAAGAAAAAGAAAGTCAAGGTCATAACCCACAGTTTCAACCCAATGGTGGAACATACAACATGAATATCAGAAACACAATTGGTTTTGATCTGCCACCTTCCAAAAGTAAGTAATTTGCCAATAGGGAGTGTGGAAACTATAATGTAAAAAAATGCACACAGGTGCTTTAGACAATTAAAATCACTACACATGAACCATGCTCCACTATGAGTCAGGACCCTTAGGAAAGATTGAATAATTACGAGAAAAAGGAAAATTTTATTCCAGAAAAATTCAACTAATGCTAGTATTAATAATTCAAAATTTTAAGAAACAAAAGGCAGGAATAAGACAAATCTCAAACTACAATGCCAGCAGTCCCTTTATCCACGCACTACAAAATTCACCGGAAATAAATCAATGCTGGAGTAAAAACAACACACCAAATAGACAGGAAAGAAAACGGACACCGTACCATAGTCATTAATTTAAAACAGAAATCCTGATAGGCCATGATGCACAGTGCAAAATGAGATCAAGGATTATATTCAATGCTTAATAAGTATAGAAACCAATTTGACAACATAGTGTAAAAAATACAACTACTTGTCTTTTTTAGGATGAATGGACATTAATCCAAATTTGGCCAATTTAATGAGCCATATTAACATAACAAACATTTCCTCAGGACACAAATTACTGCTGTATACAAACTGTAAAAAGCTAATCATGAAGCAGTAATCTGCAGCTATAGCATTTTACTGTTATTATAGAATGCCAACAAGCCTACTTCTGGATTTGAGATCAAATGGTTCCCTTGAATACCTGGCCAAGTACTAGACCAATTCATTCCCGGACGACCGTCAACAATTAAAGTTATTCATTAATTTAAACTTCTCATTCTAATCACTTACTACTAAGTCAGCATAAGCTTTTTCTTTAAACAAAAAAATTTTGCTCACCACATTTAGGTGGAAGTTTTTTGAAAAAGTCACCTCAGTTTTTATTTCCAAAAGAAAGCATTATATTTAATTACTACAACAATGTGAGGTGATTTTCAGGGTACGTCAATGCAAGATGATGATCAGAACTGCAACCAATGCAAACATAACTTTAATCTACGAGTAAAGCTGATTCGATGAACTGCATGAATTTTTAGCTTTAGAAAATTTACAAGCTTAACCCGGTGAGCAATGCAACATAGGAGATTCACCTGATATCGTGTAAGGTCCATTTCCAAAAACTTGTAGTTGATTAACATCATTGTGAAGTCAGTTTTAATTCACAGGTATAATGTGAATAAATTCTAGAACATTACAAGACAAAATTAAATGGCCATTAAATATTTTCACCAAAATCAAATGTTCATTTATATAAGTAGTTCCTGGGTTATGAATGGGTTCTGTTCCTAAGTATGCTCTTAAGTCAATTGGAAAAAAGTCAAACACAATATAGTAGTTAAAAATATCAATTAAGCATGACTAGATGCTCGCATGTCAGATCCTTATAATTAACAGCAATATGGTTATCTTATATAGCCCGTCCCACTTAAATCACTTTACAGTTTGTTTTCTATTCTTGTATATTTACTCAGTTATTAGAAAAAACACCTCTTTTTTCCCTTGTTTGATTGCACTTTATAGGATATGCACCTGCAACCCACATCTCCAATGCTGACAAGAGGTTGTAGTCCTAAAGATTAACCTTCGCCTTTCCAATTCTCTACATGAGAGACCTGGTCTGAATGTTTCCAACATTTTCCATATCTATTTGTAGTTTACTGGATTTGTGATCAAATTTCATAAGAACAACCTTCATTTGCTGCTTTCTTATTTTGAACTCCACGTTAAGATTCAAACACCTCAATGCATTAACAAAAATCAGCAGCACAAGATTAAGAATTTAAACGCAGGAGTGGCTCATCACACTTACCTCAATTAAAAAAAAAAATCGACTAAGCTGATAAAATTCAGCATAAACTGTCTCAGGTTACAAGTTTCTATAACAGCCGTAACAACATATTTGCAGACGTGTTTAAAACAGATGTGTTATATATTTGACTGAAAGAATTTATCTGCACAGGGAATGTTTAATATATATTAGGCCCCAGTAAAGCATTCTTGTGTTATTCGGGGCTGATTCTTAGTTTTTAAAACCATCAGCACAGGTGTTTGTAAATTGTAATTTTGAAACAGCCTGCAATTAAATTGGACTTGAGAATTTTAAGAAAATAGCTTCTAATTCACAAAATATGGCTAAATATTCTTACATAGTCTAACGTATTTCTGCAGTGCCAAAAATTGATATTACTGATGCACAGTTGTACTAATTTTCTAAAAATAATTAATTTCATTCTAAAATTTATATTTAAGCGTACTGCAACGTAGCCACTTGAACACTCATACCAGGCATGAAAGCTTCTGCAGCTAAGGGTGATTTTAGGTATGATTCAAATACTCAGGTCATTGGCTCCCAATGAATCTATTACTGGATTTAAGACATGTGTCCTTTTCACCAAGTGGTAAGTGCATAAACCACATTTTTATAAAAGTAGTTAGGCCAAATATTTGCATTCAACATGGTTGTTGAGTCCATCTACGATAAGTTGCTGTTTGTATGTGGACATGGAGATAGATCACAATTTCATCAACAGGAGGAGCTTAAATTGAATCCAGAGATGCCCCTCTTTTGAAATATTTCATATACAATGAAAACAGACTCATGCCTTCAGTCGATGTTACATGCTACTTTAAAGATTGAAAGCAAATCAGGACAAGTTTTATACAAAGTGCATTTCTATTAGATCTAAACACACTTTTAAATTAAGACTTCAAAATATAAGCTCTAATTATAACTTATTAATTCCACATTGTATTACTTCCATGCGCCTGGTCATTTCAAAGTTGAACTTCAATAAGTTGACAATAAAATTGCAACAATTACTACAATGTTACTACTCTTTTGCATCAATTATGATTTCCTGGGCTACCTTCACTCAGAAGTACATAAATGATATTTCCAGACTCTCAGCAAAGCTGATGTGCAAATTGAATTGTAGAAATCATGAGCATACTTTTAGGAAAGGAATATCACATTTGACCAATCTATTGGAGATCTTTGAAGTAACACATGCTGTAGATAAAGGGGAACAGGTAAATGTACTCTTGTTTTCCAGAAAGCACATGATACAGGTGGCATATCAAAGGTTACTGCAGAAAATAAAATCTCGATATAGGGGTTAGCAAATTGATATGCACAGATTACGTGGTTAAAGGGAACAAAAGAGTGGGCACAAATAGGTCTTTTTCAGGTTGGCAAGGTGTGACAAATTGCTTGTCACAGGGATCAGTATTGGAACCTCAACTGTTTACAATTTACATAAATGACTTGAATGAAGGAACAGAACGTGAGATAGTAGGAACTGCAGATGCTGGAGAATCCGAGACAACAAGGTGCAGGGCTGGATGAACACAGCAGGCCAAGCAGCATCATAGGAGCAGGAAAGCTGACGTTTCGGGACTAGACCCTTCATCAGAAAAGGGGGAGGGGAAGGGGGTTCTGAAATAAATAGGGAGAGAGTGGGAGGCGGATAGAAGAGGGATAGAGGAGAGGATAGGTGGAGAGGAAACAAACAGGTCGAAGAGGCGGGGATGGGGCCAGGAAAGGTGAGTGTAGGTAGGGAGTTAGGAAGGGGATAGGTCAGTCCAGGGAGGACGGACAGGTCAAGGGGGCGGGATGAGGTTGGTCGGTAGGAGATGGAGGTGCGGCTTGAGGTGGGAGGAGGGGATAGGTGGGAGGAAGAACAGGTTAGGGAGGCAGGGACGAGCTGGACTGGTTTTGGGATGCGGTGGGGGGAGGGGAGATTTTGAAACTTGTGAAATCCACATTGATACCATTGGGCTGCAGGGTTCCCAAGCGGAATATGAGTTGCTGTTCCTGCAACCTTCGGGTGGCATCGTTGTGGCACTGCAGGAGGCCCAGGATGGACATGTCGTCTGAGGAATGGGAGGGGGAGTTGAAATGGTTCGCGACTGGGAGGTGCAGTTGTTTATTGCGAACCGAGCGTAGGTGTTCTGCAAAGCGGTCCCCGAGTCTCCGCTTGGTTTCCCCGATGTAGAGGAAGCCACACCGGGTACAGCGGATGCAGTATACCACATTGGCAGATGTGCAGGTGAACATCTGCTTGATGTGGAAAGTCTTCTTGGGGCCTGGGATGGGGGTGAGGGAGGAGGTATGGGGGCAGGTGTAGCACTTCCTGCGGTTGCAGGGAAAAGTGCCGGGTGTGGTGGAGCTGGAGGGGAGTGTGGAGCGGACAAGGGAGTCACGGAGAGAGTTGTCCCTCCGGAAAGCAGATAAAGGTGGGGAGGGAAAGATGTCTTTGGTGGTGGGGTCGGATTGCAGATGGCGGAAGTGTCGGAGGATGATGCGTTGGATCCGGAGGTTGGTGGGGTGGTACGTGAGGACGAGGGGGATTCTTTTTTGGTTTTTATTGCGTGGACGGGGTGTGAGGGATGAGGTGCGGGAGATGTGGGAGACACGGTTGAGGGCGTTCTCGACCACTGAGGAGGGGAAGTTACGGTCCTTGAAAAACGAGGACAACTGAGATGTACGGGAGTGGAATGCCTCATCCTGGGAGCAGATGCGGCGGAGGCGAAGGAATTGGGAATAGGGGATAGCATTTTTGCAGGAAGGTGGGTGGGAGGAGGAGTATTCTAGGTAGCTGTGGGAGTCGGTGGGCTTGAAATGAATATCGGTTTCTAGGTGGTTGCCCGATATGGAGACAGAGAGGTCCAGGAAGGGGAGAGAGGTGTTAGAGATGGTCCAGGTAAATTTAAGGTTGGGGTGGAAGGTGTTAGTGAAGTGTATGAACTGTTCGAGCTCCTCGTGGGAGCACGAGGCGGCGC